CTGTTACAGTTTCTTTCCAAAGTGGAAGCTGGACTAGGAATTAATTGAGAAAGTATTGAAACATTTAAAGTGTGTACCGCGAGAATTTTCTAGTGTTTTCCCCACTTTCATGATACCTACCGTTATTGCTTGAGTAACAGCAATTGTCTAGAGTAACGATCAAATGTCTTAGAACCTTCGTATTCACCAAATCCAATGTAATCATGCACGATTACAATTTTGTGTTCTGTTTCTGTTTACTGTTGCCATCTCTCGAATTTTCCCGTGGTAGCGCGAGACATCTATCACGGTGCAGCAATGCATACCACGCACCGTAGAAATCAGGTCAGAGTGTAAACACAGCCGCTCATACTAGCGTAAACAGCAGTGTAGTACTAATGCCACGTAAAGTCTGTTATTAGAGAAGTTTGTGGATTGCCAGTCGGATAGTAACAAGGGGAATGACAATGACAGAAAGTGCTCTGAATTATTGACATAAAAACTCAATAATATTTATTAAACAGAATTGCACGCCCTTTTGTTTTAATTATGTTCACTTGTTTGAGACGCCATTTGTAATTTTTGAGAGTCACTACTCGGAAAAATTTATTGCTGGTATGATGTGGTCAAATCAATTTTTCTATGCTATAACTGCATAAAATCTTGGTGTTTTGAATGTTGGTATAATCAGTGATATTTCCACTGTCAGGTGAGACTATATTCTGCTATATTTCGTTTTTCTGAGCCAAAAAACTCGCGGTACACATTTTAAGCCATAAAACCGGGTATTAGGCCTTAAAACCTGGTTTTAAGGTCTAAAACTAGGTATTAAGACCTTAAATCTGGGTTTTAGACCGTAAAACCTAGTTTTAGACCTTAAAACCCGGTTTTAAGGTCTAAAACTAGGTTTTATGCTTTTTGGTACAAAATGCTTTCCATACGAGTGTTGCATTGATATCCAATCTCCCATCGAGCCACACCGCATCGCCGAGGGCGCAAGAGTCGTTAGTAGCTGCCTTTTGTTTCAAGTTAGGCGGTTTATACTTTCGGTTTGCTGGCAACAGAATGGATAATCGTGTCGTACGTTTTAGTCTGTATCTCCGGATTGCGGGTTTATACGAGGAAACGATTTCGCACAATGCTAGGCGAAGGTACTGTGTACGATTTGAGCTCAAGTTGGTTGAGTTACGCGTAGTAAATCGTAGGTATTCTAAGGCTAGTAAATGACGAATTTTCCTTGTGTATTGAAGTCGCACTCCTTCCCTATTATCTACTGCTGATGCGCATATAACCTAAGCTAAGCTCGGTGACCTAATTAATCGAGTATTGCCTGGAGTAGCTGAGGAGTTACATTATCTGTGTGCGGCAGTTGACCTATCCTTCTGCTGAAGCCCCGCAGTGACAGTTGCCATCGCAATTACTTCCTCTCTCGATCCAAGCCTCGCTCTCCCCCTCCCATTTATTCGCTCCCTCCCTTCCTCTCTCCCGTCTTTCTCGCCCTTGCCTACTCTGTCTCCCCTGCCTCTCTCCCTCCTTATTTCTTCCCCTTCTGTCTATCTCCCCCTTCTCGTCCGCTCCCTCTCCCTTTCCCTCTCCCCTGATCCCTTTCCCCCTTCCTTCTTTCATCCCCGCTCTCTCTCTCCCCCAATCTCGCTCATTATTCGCTCGGTTCTCGAAGTGTGAAGGCATCTCGTGCTCACTGGCATATCTCGTTATTGCTACATGAGGCTACTGTTCTGGCTATAGTGTTGCAAACTGTGGCCTCGGGGCTGGCTGTACGTGTACTGTCACCTGCTTTACGCGCTGACGCAATCGATGACGCAGGTAGTCGTAGATGTTTTAACCTAGATAATGACAGTGCATCTGAGATGTACACCGGCGAAGTCGGCAGCCAACAAAAGACGGACCAAAACTACACCACGTATAGATTTTGTTGCCGATTCGTATGCAGGCGCATGCAAGGTTTTTGTTCGGGGGCCGGCAACCCCGGGGGATTTTACTCGGATATATATATCTGTGTCGGTCTCGGCTAGTTTTTCCTTGCAGAAATTGTGTTCGCATGGAAATTCTCTGGAAAATGTTTTCAAATGAATCTCGGATACGTACCCGCCACTGCGCGCACGATCGTAACTCTTTCAGTGTGATGTGACGTCGCAGCGGTTCTGCCAATAAATAGAGTATAGGAAAATGTTCTGCAGATTACAGTGTGAAAATATAAGCTCGTTACAACTTACAGTAGTTATGCTCCACGGCTGTGAGTTGTTGCAATGATCGGGAATTGCAAGAAAATGCACTTCCTCTGCCGAGGTTACCGTGCCAAAATTCTTATGCCTCGAGTTGAGCACGACGCGTGTGTATTGTATTTTTAGCTGCAATATATAACCCCCTGTATATATGTGTGTGTGTGTGTGTGTGTGTGTGTGTGTGTGTGTGCGTGCGTGCGTGCGTGCGTGCGTGCGTGCGTGCGTGCGTTAGTGTGCACTGTAGCTAATGTCATACGTGATAACTGATAACTCAGCACCACTGTTCTAAGCAAGATATTCTCATAACGAAGTGATAGACTGACTGTCCACCCATCTAATCGACGGGCGATGACCAGTGTACACCATTGGTTTCTTAAACTTGATTTGCACATTTCTAATTAAAAGGTGTAATCGATTAGCAATTAGAAGAAATTGATTAGCAAGGATTGCATTGCCATTGGCTCTAAAAACATACAAACATGATCGGTTTATGAGTCGAACACAATCTGATTTCTATGAAAATTAAAGGTCAGTGAAAAATACAATTCATTCGCAGTTTGCTAATCCGTATGAAATAAGATTCGCAAATTAATGCTTAAATTTAATTTGCAAAACCGTGGTGCGAACCCGCTCACGGCGTAAACTAGTGTTGGCAGTGATGTAGTGGTCTGGGGCCGTGTTTTCTTTTACCGTGCACTCGCAGCGTTTCCCCAGGCCACCTAGCAGTCGTATGACGGCCCACTTTTTTCTCATGTAAATTTTTTTCCCATTTATACTAGAAAAGCTGAAGTGTTAGAATCTAACGCAGCGTGTATGTACTACAGATGTGACATGGGGTCTATTAGCGATAGCAAATCAATAATATGAGTTCATGCACTGTTGCCTCGTGTGAAATCAGGAAGTTCTCCACGCAAAGTTGAGTGTTTAAGTCCAGTATTGGCAGTAATTTATAATGACCCTTGTACCGTGCACTCGCAGCGTTTCCCCCTGCGTTGGGAAGGCAACGTCGATAGTTAAGCAACCCGTCTCGCAAAACTGGCAGAAACTGCCTCCTAGCAGTCGTATGTCGGCCCACTTTTTTCTCATGTAAATTTTTTTCTCCATTTATATTAGAAAAGCTGAAGTGTTAGAATCTAACGCAGCGTGTATGTACTACAGATGTGAAATAGGGGGATATTAGCGATAGCAACTCGTGTGAAATCAGGAAGTTCTCCACGCAAAGTGGAGTGTTTAAGTCCGGTATTGGCAGCCGCTCGGTCCGCCGCAGAGAATTTCCTTTCCGCTCTATAACTCGACCCCTAATTGACCTAGCGCTACCAAACTTGGTATACTTACACATATTGGAGAGAAGGTGAGCAGCGTACCAAAACCAGGTTACTGCGACCTATATTTGACCTTTGCCTTGACCTTGATCATATTTCCCTTCCGCTCTCTAACTCGGCCCCTAATTGACCTAGCGCTACCAAACTTGGTATACTTACACATCTTGGAGAGAAGGTGCGCAGCGTACCAAAACCAGGTTACTGCGACCTATATTTGAC